TGATGGGTTTGCATGGATTCATTTAACACTAGTGCTGCATCTGAATTTACTTCTGTAGAAGAAGAGAATCTTGTTGAGTTATTTTGTGACAACAGCTTGAAAGCAAAATTTGGCAGCTTGGAGTTGACACAATTTTGGATTGCATTAAAAGATGAATAACCTAAGTGGTAAGACTGAGTGAATTTTTAATTCCATTTTCCATGCCGTATTCTGTAAAGCTGAGTTTTCGGTATCGCTGTGATTTAAAGCAAAGTATAGAGCAAAAATCAACATGGAAAATGAAATGAAGATAACCGTGTCCAATTAAATTCTCCAATTTGAGAAAATGAGCAGTATTGATGTAATGTTAGTAAAGTAGAAAAAAATGTTAAATAGCAAAAATACATAAGTTTTATTGATTTTTATCTCTTAAATTACATTTATTTAGGGTAGCGTACCGTGGAAAAATTTAAATTGGAAAAAGGTGCTTCGACTCGGAAAAGTTTGGGAACCATTGGAGTAAATGTTAATGAAAAAATGGCATCTCCTCTACAAGCAAATCGGCTTTAATTACTTACTGATGGCTGTGGGATGCTTAAATACAATTGACATGAAAACCTCTGTTCCATATATATATATATGTATGTAATAAAAACAAACTGGCCTTGCAATATTGATGGTGTAGGACGGTGTTTTTCAAACTTTTGATGTGCATGTACCCCTTCTATAATTTTCATAATGCTGAGTATCCCTCGTCAAAAAAAATGCATGTGTTTTAATAACAATCAAAATATATTTATTTTTTCTTTTTTTCTGACATACACAAAGTAATAAGAAAAGAGAAATACAATTATTCATAATAAATATAAATAAAAGTTATATTATAAATAGTAATTATTTGGATTAATGAGAAGGTTGAAATCGTTTGTACTGAGATGACAGATCGTCATAATTTGGTTCCCTAGTTGTTAATTTTAATCTGAGATGTGGCTCCACGTCCAATAGTCTGTTCCTTTTTTTTTTTGATTTAATATCTACAAATGCTGAAAAAGCGATTTCATGTAAATATGAAGTTGGAAACGGCAAGATGCATTTTAAAACTTTTTCTGTTAAAACCGGATACACATCTTGTATTTGTAACCAGAATGGTGTTAAAGTACACTCCTCATGTTTATTTTTCGAGAATCCATCTGAAGCCAATTCCAACAATTGTTCTTCTTCTGCATGCGTCAGATCTTTTTGCATGGATGTTGTGTTGATATTAAACTGATATCTTATCCATTTAATACTTTTGTTTAAATCAGGGAAATAGTTTTTCAGGCCTATTTGTAAACTCTCCAAATGCTGTGTTTTGCATTTCAGAGTATCAGCATCAGTTTTAGTAGTCGAACTTGTTACAAACTGATGAAGAAAGGGAAGTGAGTTTACGTCTCCATTACCAACTCTCTTTTGCCATAAATTTAGTTTTGTGAAGGCAGTGTTCACTTTATCTTGGATGTGAAGCAATGAAATTTCTTTGTTTTGTAACAATAAGTTGAGGCAATTTAAAACAGAGAATATATGTGCTAAGTATGTTAGTTTACAAAGCTATTTCCAGTCATGTAAACAATTTCTCAACTGAAACTACCATTAAAAAAACTTTCAAGTTCGTGTCTAAGTTCAAACAATCGATTTAGAATTTTTCCTCGAGATAGCCAATGAACATCGGTATGGAAAAGAATATGGGTATAACTACTTCCCATTTTTTCAAATTTCGTGAAAAATGTCGTGCATTCAAAGGACGATTTTTAATGTAGTTAACGATTTTCGTGCTTTCATCCAGAACTTTCTGTAGATCAGTAGGCATCTTACATGTTGCCAAAGCCTCTCTGAGTATGCAACAACGTGTGGACATGACATTTGGGGCAATATTTTGAATTTTTGCAACAAGTCCTTTATTAATTCCAACCATACGTTTTGCTCCATTCTGTGCTTATTCCAACACATCTATTCCAATAAATTTTGTTCAATAAAAAGTCATCATGAATTCTTTGATTTTTTGTATCTTAACCCCTTCGAGCCGGGTAGCGAAAACACGTGCTTATCGCGGAGGCCGGCAGTGTCTTCCGCGAGCGTCTCTCCAGGGCCGGGGCTTTTTGCTACTAAGCCTAAATCCATGAATTTCCGAAGTATTCACAACGCATTGTTTATAATGCTCTATAGAGTATTTAAACGGCTTATGCTTATAGATATTTATATATATATACTTAATTACCTTATTTCTTGTTTAAATGCATATTTTACACATATATAATTACGTCTACAGATTTATTTAATTACTCACCATTTTATGACTTTTAACATTATACATCTGAAAACTAAATATATTACTTAAAATCTCTTTTCATATAAAAATTTTAAAACAGGATCTACACACAGTCCTGCGTTCATTCCTTGAACTCGAATACTAATTTGCCGTTTGAAGGATTTTTTCAGGAATGTGAAACAAAGCATCGTCGTCTCACTTTCTTATCAGTCTCTTTAACAAGTTTGGAAAATGTCTTTCAGTTAATCTTTGAGAATCAATATCAGAATTTCAGAATCAATATCTGAAATATTTTGCATCATTTCTGCTATTTCTGCTCTGTTAAACATTTTCGACGCTCGACATTGAAACGGTAAAACAGAAAGAATTCACGTCTAACAAGATCTAATTATTTTCTAAAAACTGAACTGTAAACCGAAATACTCAACGCTTTAGCGCATATAAAACTTCTTTTTACAATAAACAACTACCACGTGCGAATAAAGTGCGATTTAAAGAGACGTCATAAATCACGGCATTCGGAAACATTTAGTTCCCCGTTTGTTTATATAATCAAAAACATGTGTATGTGAGTCATGCTTCTCTCATGTCGAGTAGAAGGTCTAATGTACATGTATCTGACACCATATGGGCATACAGTGCCATCTTGTGGCAGAAATTATAGTTTGAAAAACGTTCCAAGGTACAGGCACAAATACGTGACATTCGGTAGAAAACGCAACAATGCTCTGGCACGCCTGCGTGTCGGCCGGTAGATAAGTGCGTTCGTTGCTGGCACGTATACGTGACAGTCGGCACGAAGGGGTTAACAAATGCCATAAAGATATGCAAAATTCACAGTATTAGTGGACTCATCGACTTGCAGTGCAAAATAATGACTTTGAGAAATATCAGATAATAACATCTGTTTTACGTTATTAGACATAGCAATGATTTGTCAGTGAACTGTATTATTTGAGAGAGAAATGCGGTCAAAAGTTTGTTTTGCTCTATCTCCTATCAGTACTTCTGCCATTATCTTGGCTGCAGACTTGATTAAAATTTCGCCAATGGTTTCCGCTGCACTACATTTCACAATTAAAAGTGATTGATTGTCACCTCGTGTCAAACCTCGCATAATGTTTCGAGACGAATTTAAATCCTTAAGTTTATTTTCAAAAAAATCTATGGGTTTATTTTTGTACTGATTATGTTTTGTCTCGAAATGGCACTTTAAGTTGGATGGTTTCATCCTTTTGTTTGTTAGATTTTCAAACAAATAACGTAAAGTGTAAAGACTCATTTTCATTTCCAGTTCATGAGAATCCAAGTTTAAGATATTCTTTATCATTACTTGCGAGTTTTTCTTGCTTTTTTCTTAACAGGTACTTAATACTGAAAGAGTATTGAAGTTGATTCATTGTTAATTTCATTATTTCCTGTTAGTTGATTGCTACTATAATCATTACTGTCTTTCAGATTAGTAGTTCCAAATTTCAACCCGTAATCCATAACCTATGTTAGGGATCAAAATTATTATTAAAAAAATAATCAACATTAGTGGGGAAGTAGTTTGATAGTATTATGGTAGGAAGCGAGCACAGCGAAATAGCATCCAGGCAGCACACAAACAGAAGCTAAAGTGCATGGTTATCCAATATGGAAGCTCACCAAGAAGGTTTCAGTTTAGATTAGAAAAGTTTTAGTTCTCGAAAGGATGAATTTAGGCTCCAAATTAATTACGTCATCAGTGTTATGCAAGCCTTGCAAGATGGATTAATCTAGAAATGACGTAGTCCAGAAAAGTTATGACTACTTTTAGAATAGAGAGAAAATACATAAATAAAGAATGAGGATTTAAAAGCCTGTTGCTAAATTGAATTATATAGTTGATTTAGGTATTTTTTATCTCACACACATATAAAGCTAAATTTAAGTAAGCAAATATGTCCACAATAGATCTTCTCCCCATTCTGATTGCATTGTTTGTAACTTCTTTGAGACACAGGTCTTTTATTTGTATTTTGTTCATTTCTAAGTTTTATTTTAAAACTGCAGTTATCTGAATATAATGTTGTATATAATCAAGATAATACAATCATAATGACTATATATGTCCTTTTATTTTTAAAACGTAAATAAATGTAGGTAGTATTCTGTTTGCATCAAATTTTAGAAATTCTAGAGGATCTTATAAAAGCTAGTCAAATTTATGAAACTGCAGATTGTAACACTTACAGAAATTTTAATAAAAACTGTTATTTAAAGTAATTAAGACTATGAGTGGTTACCCTAATGTTACATGTATATCCATTTCATAGAAATTTTAGATATACTGTGCTTCTTGTAATGAGACTGTAGGGGTTTTCCATTTCAGAATTATATTTGATAAGTATTTATCAAGCTGTCCTGTTTCAGTTAGCAGTTGCTGAGACTAAATGCAGACTTTGCCTCTGCATTTAGCCTCCTATTCCTGAAAATGGGTACTATAATATATGCAGTGTCAGTATTTTAAGAAACATGACCAAATAAATAAACAGTATTTATGTTTTCATATTGCATTGCTGTGTAATTCAGGAAGTTTTAATATTACTTAATCAGAAGATGTCCATGACAGATACTTTTTTCTAAGTCTATGCTTGGCAAAGTAAAATCTGTGCTGTTATATTTAATTTAATATGATGCTTTATTTAATTTAATATTATGTTTTTTATTAATTTATTAACTTATTTTTCAGAATATAAAAAACAATGTGATTCGCAAATTACATCAAGGTATGACCAATTTTATTATAGAATTGAATAAATAAAGTGTAATTTTCTCTTTACTTTTATTCTTGTTGTGTATTTTGTAAGAAACAGAGTTAAGTAAAAATTTTAAAACTAGGCAAAACTCATTTGATTGACAATGATTTTATTTAATGCATGAAGCATTTCAAGAAACTTTTTGACATAGATTTAGAAGAAGAGAGATATATGCCAAAATAGTACAGTACACCTGAAACAGAATAGCTGCTGCTATCCTAAGAACGTTTCATTACCTTATGCATTTTCCACATATAGTTTTGTTTTACACTGATGGCTTTTGAAAGTAATTTTTCTATTGTTCTCTTATTAAAGATACAACTTCTGTAGGTATTTCTGATTATCCACCCACCCATTCACCAAAAGTCGCACTGCCTACTTTGAAGTGGAATATCTGTTTGGGTACCTTTATATTAAATTCATTGACTCGTTGGGACTTTGGCAATTCTGTATTTGGAAACCTTCTGAATTTTAGATTATCAGTTTAAATCTAGTTAGATGACATGCTGAAATTATAAAATTAAAAATCTGAAATAATTGTGTATGAAATAATGAAGCATTCATGACCTTAAGGGAATCAAAATAATAATAAAAAAAGCTCTATATTTATTTGTTTGCTTTACTAAGCATGTCTTTCTCTGTAAGTTATTTTAAGTTGCTTCATTTTTTGTGCTATTACTTTCTGTTTAATTGTAAAGATAGACATTATTTCTTGTTCAGTTTTAAAGTACAAGCCTTGTAATTACCATATCGAGAATTTTGACTAAATTGCCAGTTGAAATTTTTTCATTCTCAGCAACCTCTCTCTGTCACTTTAGTGAAATTTAACAAACTTGGAACCAACCATACTTCAGATTTCATTATCTCCATTAGTTGATCGATTATTTTGCCATTTCTATCACAATGGAATACATCTGCTGTATCATCTTCATTTATTACCTCATCTTCACATTCTTTTTTTCATCAATTCCATTAATTGGAAAATATTGCTTTTTGTTTACAATATCTGAAAACCTTCAAATTAATGGCTGTCATCACAAAGCTTAATGAGTGTCTGCTATACTCTTTTGGTAAAATGATACTGTCCACTGAATCATGAAGATATGTTTGTCTGCTGAATCATGAAGATTGTGTCATGAAGATACACTGTTGTGCTAAAACTTTTCTGGCTCGTATTGCATGCTGAGGAAATTAAGCCTGAATTATGTTATTTTTGTTATTTATGTACCTTTATTTCTTGCACATTCTTAAAGCTTTTTTTAGTTCCTATGAAATAAAATCTCACATATACTTTGCTTTTCCATTATGCACCTGACATGCATTTTGGTGATTTTTTTATTGTAAGTGATATCTGGTTATAAGAAAAAACAAATCCAGTTATTCTTAATTCAAACAGCACTAAATGGATTATGTAATCGTTCAAAAAATCCATTTTTAGAAATTGCCATAAATACACTAGACATTTTGTAATGCAGTTGACATAAGTTTGTAATCGCCAAGTGTAATGCCAGCATGAAAGTTTACCATGCTGTTTGGTATTCAATTGATGATATTTAAAACAGTTATATTATTTGAAGCGGTTATGTTAAATTTTTTATCCCATCAACTGTTAAACTGTCATCAAACAGCATGATTTAGTGCCAGTTATGTATAAGTGGGACATAACAACTTATTCGTAACATCTGCACTTTTGCCTGATATAACCCAAAATAATTTTCAATAAGTCTTGTTTTGTTCTCATGAATAAGGATATAAATTAATTGATATTGCTGTATTTTTTCCTTGCATTTTAGAAAAAATCATTAAAATTTGGGACCTGCCTCTTACAGAAGAGCAAGCAGGGATTATTTTATGGCAATGTTATGGCTTCCTACCATCAAATAAAGGGTGTATTAATGGACACCATACAGTCAGCTCAATAAGGCTGAAAGAACAGAAATTGATGGGAACAACTACGTGCGAGAAATTTGTACTCGTAGCATTCTAAACAGAGCTTCTGGTAATATCAGAGGGCTTAATAGAAATAGTAGAAATTGATGAAAACGTTTTACAAAGTTTAGAATGAAGTGGGAGAGAATATTGATTGTTTATTAAATAATGAGTCTTCATTCTTTCAGAATTCTGCAGGAATGATTGATGCAGCTTTGGAGAGATCTCCATCAGTTTTCATGGCTCCATGGTTTCTAACTTCAATTATTGACAGGATACTACGTAAACATTTTAAAAACTGTTTTTAACATCACTGTATGAGCCATTTCTCAAGTTGTCGTGCATTGACAGTCACATAGTGATGAAAGTAAAAAATAATAGAAAATTATTCTCTAGGTTGGTGTAAGGCTTATGTAGGTGTAAAATCAGTGGTGGTGGTGGTAGTTGAGTTAATGGTGCATAACCAGAAAGATTATATGCGCCAAATACATGGTAGTTTATAAAAAGATAGATAAACTTTTATAAAACAACAATTAGCTAAGCCATAAAATCTACATGAAATAATAAAATGGTGAACAGTAAAAGGAGTAGGTATTAAAACTCAGCAAATGAAATTATTACCTTTTATTCCTATCCAGCAGTAAGAAATTTCGAATCCACGATTACTTAGGATTTTATTCAACTTTAAAATTTCAACTATAAGAGGATTCTGTGTGTCAGAGAATGTTTCTAAAGCCTTCAGAGCACTGAATGAGTCAGAATAGATAATAAACCTTCTTCAGCAATGTCTAGATATAGATAAAAGGGCATTATAAATTGTAGTCAGTTCAGATGTCAGGACTGAACAATTAAGTCATCTTCCCACCATATGATTTTTAATTACGAAAGACATTCCAACATGATCGATTGCTTTCGACCCATCTGTATATACAGGAATATAATTAATGTAAATTTGTCTATGTTCTGAGAAAAGTTGTTGATATATGATCTCATTAGTACTTTACAAAAAGGGTCATACTTCAAATGAGAGGTCACTGTCCTCAAGCAGAATTTTACAAGGATGGTTTAGTTGTGACAAGATAGTATAATAATAATTAAGGTACAATTGCTCGCGTCTTAGTTGGAGTGGTGGTTCATAACAGTCAACATAAAGGCTTTGAACTGGAGATGTTCTGAAGGCTTCAGAACAAATCCACAAGGCCTGGTGATGCACAGGATCTAGTTGTAGTAATGTAGAAGACTGTGCCAAGCCATATACAACCGAGCCCTAGTCCAGTCTAGAGCATACAAGAGCTCTATAAATGCGAAGCATTGATTCCCGCTCGGCACTCCAAGAGGTGTTTGCTAAGACTTTTAAAATATTCAGTGTTTTGAAAGACTTATTCCTCAAGTAAAGGACATTGGGAATGAAGGTCAACTTTCGGTCAAACATCACTCCTAAAAACTTGACTTCTGGTACGACAGGAATCAAAGAATCTTGAAAGTGAAACTCCGGCTCAGGATCCATATTTCACTTTCGGCAAAAGTGCATGCAGACAGTCTTTTGCTTTGAAAAAATATACCCATGTTTTTCTGACCATTTCTCAATTCTGTTAAGAGTGATCTGCAACTGTCTCTCAACAAATCTCATATCTGCACCACCCTGACACAGTAGAGGGGAGTTCCTTTAAAATAGTATTTATTTTTAAACTAAATAAAGTAACACATAAAACGCAGCCTTGAGGCACCCTCTTGTTCGAATATATCCGAGAAAACAGAGCCAATCATCACCTGAAATGTCCTAGTGCTAAAAAAATTTTTTATGAAAATCGGTAAATTGCCACGCAAGTCACAAGCATGGAAGTTCTCGTAAAATGCCATACCTCCAGGTCTTGTCATAAGCTTTCTTCATGTCAAAGAACAAGGTGATTACTCCTGACAAAAGCTTTACGAATGGAGGTCTCCAACATGAGAATATTGTCAGTCGTAGATCTACCTTTACGGAAACCACTCTGTTATGGTGAGATTACATTGTTTTTCTCTAGGTAGTAGACTAAGTGACAATTTACCATTTTTTCAATCAACTTACAGATGCAACTAGTTAATGCGATAGGCCGATAATTAGAGGGATTCTTCAGGTCTTTTCCTGGTTAGCTATGGAAGACACAGCTTTTTCCACAAACTGGGAAAGTGCTCCTTCCCACTCGATTCTAGAGAGAGAGAAGAGCGACCAATGCTGTAGAGGAAAGATTTTTCAGCTTTCATAGCTGGCTGACACATCTGGACCGGACTATACCATCAGTCTGAAGCAGGCTTCTTTAGCTCAAGCGTGAATCTTTATTATGAGGCTCTGAGTTACTAGATTTAAGGATAGGAGTTCTTCTGAGTATTTCTTCACGGAAAGAAAGTGGCGGATAGTGCTGCCGCTCGAAACAGCCGCAAAGGTCTCACCATAATATTTGCATTTCTTCCTTAGTGCTAATTACCCAGCCACTTTTCCCAAGATGGAAAGTGCGTGATCATTATACATACCGCATCCTTTCTAACTCTCTCCCATACCTTTTACTCGGAGTAGAGGATGTTATTGATGAACACATAGTGTATCCCGAATCCTCTGGCTCTTTTCGTTACTTTTCGTGCATTTGCTTTGGCTCTTTTAAATGCCATAAGGTTGCGCAAAGTAGGGTACCTGCGAAAAATTCCCCATGCTTTTTTCTGCTTTTTCATTGCTTCATGGCATTCAAGATTCCACCATGATTTGGAATACTTTAGCATTTTTTCTGATGTTCTAGGTATAGAGAGCATAGCTGCTCGAATAATAGTATTAGTGACTGCTTCAAATGCGCTATCGATTTGCACATCTTTTACCATGTTCTCTGTGAGCTCTGTAGTGGAAGAGAAGAGCTGCCAGTCTGCCTTCTCAAGTATAAATTGAGGAGATCTTGACATGGGATTTTCACCTTCTCGTGCGATAGAGACTAAAAGAGGAAAATGATCGCTGTTATGAAGATCATTCCCAACGTCAAAAGTGCAAAAGGGCAAAAGAGGTGGTGAACAGATGG